TAGTGTAGAGCAGTGGTTGTGTAGAGCACCAGAGGCAGTGTAGAGCACCACACGCAGTGTACAGCACCAGAGGCAGTGTAGAGCACCAGAGGCAGTGTAGAGCACCAGACACAGTGTAGAGTACCAGAGGCACTGTAGAGCACCAGAGGCAGTGTAGAGCACCAGAGGCAGTGTAGAGCACCAGAGGCAGTGTAGATCACCAGAGGCAGTATAGAGCACCAGAGGCAGTGTAGAGCACCAGAGGCAGTATAGAGCACCAGAGGCAGTGTAGAGTACAAGAGGCAGTGTAGATCACCAGAGGCAGTATAGAGCACCAGAGGCAGCGTAGAGTACCAGAGGCAGTATAGAGCACCAGAGGCAGTGTAGAGTACCAGAGGCAGTGTAGAGTACCGTAGGCAGTGTAGAGCACCAGAGGTACTGTCGAGCACCAGAGGTAGTGTCGAGCACAGTGGAAGTGTAGGGCACAGGGGTGGTTTAGAGCACCAGAGGTAGTGTAGAGCACACTGGTAATGTAGAGCAGTGGAAGTGTAGAGCACCAGAGGTAGTGTAGAGCAGAGAGGTAGTGTAGAGCACAGGGGTAGTGTAGAGCACCAGAAGTAGTGTAGAGCACAGTGGCAGTATAGAGGACAGTGGCAGTATAGAGGACAGTGGTAGTGTAGAGCACTGAGGTAGTGTAGAGCACCAGAGGTAGTGTAGAGCAGAATGCACCTAAAGTCAGTTCCGGATCAGCCGGGCTGTGGCTCGTACGTTGGTTTGCGTGCAGCCAGCAGCAACAGCCTGGTTGATCAGGCTCTGATCCACCAGGAGGCCTGGTCACAGACCAGGCCGCGGGGGTGTTGACCCCCGGAACTCTTTCCAGGTAAACTCCAGGTAAAGCACACGGGTAGTGTAGAGCAGTGTGCGTGTAGATCATTGTAGTGTAGAGCACCAGAGGCAGCATAGAGCACCATAGACAGTGTAGAGTACCAGAGGCAGTGTAGAGCACCAGAGGCAGTGTAGAGTACCAGAGGCAGTGTAGATCACCAGAGGCAGTATAGAGCACCAGAGGCATTGTAGAGCACCAGGGGCAGTGTAGAGCACCAGAGGCAGTATGGAGCACCAGAGGCAGTGTAGAGTACCAGAGGCAGTGTAGAGCACCAGAGGTAGTGTCGATTATCTGGATTATCTGGAGGTTATTCCGGGGATCAACGCCCCCGCGGCCCGGTCCATGACCAGGCCTCCCGATGGATCAGGGCCTGATCAACTAGGCTGTTACTGCTGGCCGCACGCAGACCAACGTACGAGCCACAGCCCGGCTAATCCGGCACTGACTTTAGGTATCTGTCCAGCTCTCTCTTGAAGGCAGCACAGAGGTAGTGTACAGCACAGTGGCAGTGTAGAGCACACGGGTAGTGTAGGGCGCCAGAGGTAGTGTAGAGCACACTGGTAGTGTAGAGCAGTGGTATTGTAGAGCACCAGAGGTAGTGTAGAGCAGAGAGGTAGTGTAGAGCACAGGGGTAGTGTAGAGCACCAGAGGTCGTTTAGAGCACAAGTAGTAGTGTAGAGCACAGTGGCAGTATAGAGCACAGTGGTAGCGTAGAGCACTGTGGTAGTGTAGAGCACCAGAGGTAGTGTAGAGCAGAGAGGAAGTGTAGAGCACAGGGGTAGTGTAGAGCAGTGGTAGTGTAGAGCAGTGGTAGTGTAGAGCACCAAAGGCAGTGTAGAGCACCAGAGGCAGTGTAGAGCACCAGAGGCAGTGTAGAGCACCAGAGGCAGTGTAGAGTACCAGAGGCAGTGTAGAGCACAAGAGGCAGTGTAGAGTACGAGAGGCACTGTAGAGCACCAGAGGCAGTGTAGAGCACCAGAGGCAGTGTAGAGTACCAGAGGAAGTGTAGATCACAAGAGGCAGTGTAGAGCACCAGAGGCAGTGTACAGCACCAGAGGCAGTGTAGAGTACCAGAGGAAGTGTAGAGTACCAGAGGCAGTGTAGAGAACTAGAGGCAGTGTAGAGCACCAGAGGCAGTGTAGAGTACCAGAGGCAGTATGGAGCACCAGAGGCAGTATAAAGTACCAGAGGCAGTGTAGAGCACCAGAGACAGTGTAGAGTACCAGATGCAGTGTAGAGCACCAGAGGTAGTGTCGAGCACAGAGGTAGTGTACAGCACAGTGGCAGTGTAGAGCACGGGTAGTGTAGAGCACCAGAGGTAGTGTAGAGCACCAGAGGCAGTGTAGAGCACCAGAGGCAGTGTAGAGTACCAGAGGCAGTGTAGATCACCAGAGGCAGTATAGAGCACCAGAAGCAGTGTAGAGCACCAGAGGCAGTGTACAGCACCAGAGGCAGTATAGAGCAGCAGAGGCAGTGTAGAGTAGCAGAGGCAGTGTAGAGTACCAGAGGCAGTGTAGAGCATCAGAGGTAGTGTCGAGCACAGAGGTAGTGTACAGCACAGTGGCAGTGTAGAGCACAGGGGTAGTGTAGAGCACCAGAGGTAGTGTAGAACACCAGAGGCAGTGTAGAGCACCAGAGGCAGTGTAGAGTACCAGAGGCAGTGTAGATCACCAGAGGCAGTATAGAGCACCAGAGGCAGTGTAGAGCACCAGAGGCAGTGTAGAGCACCAGAGGCAGTGTAGAGTACCAGAGGCAGTGTCGAGCACCAGAGGTAGTGTCGAGCACAGAGGTAGTGTACAGCACAGTGGCAGTGTAGAGCACAGGGGTAGTGTAGAGCACCAGAGGTAGTGTAGAGCACCAGAGGCAGTATAGAGCACCAGAGGCAGTGTAGAGTACCAGAGGCAGTGTAGAGTACCAGAGGCAGTGTAGAGCACCAGAGGTAGTGTCGAGCACAGAGGTAGTGTACAGCACAGTGGCAGTGTAGAGCACAAGGGTAGTGTAGAGCACCAGAGACAGTGTAGAGCACCAGAGGCAGTGTAGAGCACCAGAGGCAGTGTAGAGTACGAGAGGCACTGTAGACCACCAGAGGCAGTGTAGAGCACCAGAGGCAGTGTAGAGTACAAGAGGAAGTGTAGAGCACAAGAGGCAGTGTAGAGTACAAGAGGCACTGAAGAGCACCAGAGGCAGTGTAGAGCACCAGAGGCAGTGTAGAGCTCCAGAGGCACTGAAGAGCACCAGAGGCAGTGTAGAGCAGAGGCAGTGTAGAGTACGAGAGGCACTGTAGAGCACCAGAGGCAGTGTAGAGTACCAGAGGCAGTGTAGAGCACCAGAGGTAGTGTAGAACACCAAAGGCAGTGTAGAGTACCAGAGGAAGTGTAGAGTACCAGAGGCAGTGTAGAGCACTAGAGGCAGTGTAGAGCACCAGGGGCAGTGTAGAGTACCAGAGGCAGTATAGAGAACCAGAGGCAGTATAGAGCACCAGAGGCAGTGTAGAGTACCAGAGGCAGTGTAGAGCACCAGAGGTAGTGTAGAGCACCAGAGGCAGTGTAGAGCACCAGAGGCAGTGTAGATCACCAGGGGCAGTATAGAGCACCAGAGGCAGTGTAGAGCATCAGAGGCAGTGTAGAGTACCAGAGGCAGTGTAGAGTACCAGAGGCAGTGTAGAGCACCAGAGATAGTGTCGAGCACAGAGGTAGTGTACAGCACAGTGGCAGTGTAGAGCACAGGGGTAGTGTAGAGCACCAGAGGTAGTGTAGAGCACCAGAGGTAGTGTAGAGGACAGTTGTAGTGTAGGGCACAGGGGTGGTTTAGAGCACCAGAGGTAGTGTAGAGCACACTGGTAGTGTAGAGCAGTGGTAGTGTAGAGCACCAGAGATAGTGTAGAGCAGAGGTAGTGTAGAGCACAGGGGTAGTGTAGAGCACCAGAGGTCGTGTAGAGCACGAAAGTAGAGCACAGTGGCAGTATAGAGCAGTGGTAGTGTAGAGCACCGTGGTAGTGTAGAGCACCAGAGGTAGTGTAGAGCAGAGAGGTAGTGTAGAGCACAGGGGTAGTGTAGTGCAGAGGCAGTGTAGAGCACCAGAGGCAGTGTAGAGCACCAGAGGCAGTGTAGAGCACCAGAGGCAGTGTAGAGCACCAGAGGCAGTGTAGAGCACCAGAGGCAGTGTAGAACACCAGAGGCAGTGTAGAGCACCAGAGGCAGTGTAGAGCACCAGAGGCAGTGTAGAGCACCAGAGGCAGTGTAGAGCACCAGAGGCAGTGTAGACTACCAGAAGCAGTGTAGAACACCAGAGGCAGTGTAGAGTACCAGAGGCAGTGTAGAGCACCAGAGGCAGTGTAGAGTACCAGAGGCAGTGTAGAGCACCAGAGGCAGTGTAGAGCACCAGAGGCAGTGTAGAGCACCAGAGGCAGTGTAGAGCACCAGAGGCAGTGTAGAGCACCAGAGGCAGTGTAGAGCACCAGAGGCAGTGTAGAACACCAGAGGCAGTGTAGAGCACCAGAGGCAGTGTAGAGCACCAGCGGCAGTGTAGAGCACCAGAGGCAGCGTAGAGTACCAGAGGCAGTGTAGAGCACCAGAGGCAGTGTAGAGCACCAGAGGCAGTGTAGAGCACCAGAGGCAGTGTAGAGCACCAGAGGCAGTGTAGAGCACCAGAGGCAGTGTAGAGTACCAGAGGCAGTGTAGAGCACCAGAGGCAGTGTAGAGCACCAGAGGCAGTGTAGAGCACCAGAGGCAGTGTAGAGCACCAGAGGCAGTGTAGAGCACCAGAGGCAGTGTAGAGCACCAGAGGCAGTGTAGAGTACCAGAGGCAGTGTAGAGCACCAGAGGCAGTGTAGAGCACAGTGGTGGTGGGATCAACCCCCGGAGGCTGCGTCACCTCACAGCTCAGATAAACATTATTATTACACTTGGAAATTGGTTAAGTATTGAGTGTTAGTAGTACATAGTGGCTGAAGTGTTAGTGTAATACCTAGGACACACGACGCTACCTTAATATTATAATAAACTATATTGCTTGTTTTGTCTCATCCTGGGTTTAATAATGCTGAAAGGACTTCCAACATGGCAGACATAGATATTTGTCCAGTTTTTGGTCACCATTGCACTATAAATACAATGAAAGCAATGTCAAGCCATACCTGTCTACCCAAAACATCAATAGCTTTCTTCTACATTGCAAAAAGATTGCTAAGTTAGCAGCAGTATTGACGAAATAGTGAGACAGTTATTCTTGCTGGAGGCCCCCGCCACTGCTGCTGCTGCTGCTGCAGACGCTGGTCTTGTTGACCATGTAAGGGTCACCTGGCACCTCACACACCTCCGTCAACTCTCCTGGAAGCAACATCACATCACCTACACTTCCGGTAAGCAACCTTGATTAAATCTTTGTTTAGAAATGGAAATGAAGGAAGAGTCCCAACATGTGAAGTGAACAAGCATTACTTATCAGTTAAGGTGAGCACCCAATCTGAGTCAGTAACCGGCTGCACGACACTCCCATTTACAACACCCGAAGTTTTTCTGGTAATAATAATAATAATAATAATAATAATAATAATAATAATAATAATAATAATAATAATAATAATAATAATAATAATAATAATAATAATAACAACAATAATAATAATAATAATAATAATAATAATAATATTATTATTATTATTATTATTATTATTATTATTATTATTATTATTATTATTATTTTATTATTATTATTTTATTATTATATATTATTATTATTATTTCATTATTATTATTATTATAATTTTTATTTCTCCAAGTACATGTACAATATATATGGAAAATTTTCTAGGAGTGATTACTTGTACGTACCTCAACATTACATGCATACGAGTAATCTCCTTGGGAGACAACAACGATATTGTTTACCGTAGTCACCCCGTGTAGACATGTGAGAAAACTTAACCACCCCTGGTCACGGCAAGTGGTTCCTTCGACCTCACAATCTTACCCAATCTATCCGAGACCAGTAATGGATTGGATAGCACCCACAAGTACGGTGCTACTAATTAATTGTGGACTGTATAGATTATATTAGTTTAACTGAATGAAGGGGGGTGGGGTAGGTTACACATGGATATATCCATAAAGGGAAAAACACTTGTACATAACTCAACCACTTACCAGATATTCTCTGGTGGTCACTTGATGTAGCTGGATCACCCATAACCTATCCAATTACAACATACCTAACTGGCCAGTATCCATCTGCTATAACTAGAAGGTTATTTAACTGTGGGTGATTGACACTCCTTATTCCCTCCATTCACCATCTCATTTCGATGTCCTGCTACAACCGACACGGTTCTTATTCCAGCAGGACGAGGTATCGTGGGTTTGTCCCCGGTTTAGAAGTCGTGATTCCATAAAGCTTCACTATCCTCGGTACGAGAACATGCGTTCACTCGGAGCAGGGCGATCTATTTCACATCCCGCATTCTCTTAACTCAATGTTATTATCACTGATTACATTACCTTTCAAAAGACGATTTAACGTCTCATAATTTTATACACATTAGATTCACCCATTAAGATCTGAGGCCGATGAGTGAGGATTAACACACGGTATTTCCCGGGACACACACCATGGCCGCGCACCAGTCACACCCGGTCGAACCATTATTCACTAATTTTACCACCTTTTTACGGGGGTCCCGTAAATCACGTTTCCCTCACTCTTCACCAGGAACAGTTACGACACTTCCTATTATGAAGTGAGGCCCAAAATTAATCCTTAGGCCGCCGTGAACGCCACTTTCCTGGTTCCATGCTTTCCCAGCCTCCTCACTACATTCAAAAACACTCCCGCCCCCACCTGGCCCGAGTCGACCTCTCCCCCCGCACATCCGCGCATGCACAAAGGGAACTCATGGTTCTATCCTATTGTCAAATATATTTTTGACTCATATCGACACATTAAACACCTATTAGGCACTATAGTTTCGGAAAATAAAAAATTTTCCCACATGCGCGGCGGGCGGAGGTGTTGCAAATATGACTTACATAATGTGGAGTACAATTTTCCCATCTTCACTGCCACCTGGGTTGGGGAAATCCAAACATTGGTATTTACATAATCACCCATTAATTCTTTTCCACCTTTAACTCCTCAGGTAGAGCTCCATCCAAAGCACACTCAAGCCTCCATGCTTCTGGTATTAACAATTTCCCTCTTATTGTAAGGTACGACACTAAGTCTATGCTCTCGGGTTAATTTGTTGGCATACTGGAAATTTTGAGACTTTAACAATAACAAGTCTCTCTCAGTATCCCAAGTCAGCCCCAGCACATTACTGCATATTTGGGACCAACTCCAGGCCATCCCCTATTTATTGATCCCTCAAATGGACTAATTTTCTGTTCCATTCTCTCAGGGGGATAAGCCTTGCTCCCTGGATTAATTTATTGGGCATAAAGGAATTATGAGACTTTAACAATAACAAGTTCTCTCTCAGTAACCCAAGTCAGCCCCCGCACATTACTGCATATAGGCACCAACTCCATGGCCATCCAATTTAATGATCCCTCAAAATGGACTAATTACTGTTCCATTCTCTCAGGGCATAAGCCTATGCTCCCTGGATTAATTTATTGGGCATACTGGAATTATGAGACTTTAAAAATAACAAGTCTCTCTCAGTGTCCCAATCAGCCCCAACACATTACTGCATTATTTCATTAACCCCTTCACATATCCTCATTTGTTCCTCTTCAGTTGACGTCACACCCGGAAATTGTCCACATAAGATTATTTACCCAATTACTTCGCTCAGTGGACCACCTGTGCACTTAAGGTGTGCATTTATCGTCGTCTGAAGTAAGAACAATTTATTATTTAACTATTTATTAATTATATCATTATAAGCAGTCAACAATTTTGGTGTCTTGCTCAGTTCGCAGAGATGGGCCCTTTAACTGTCCATACGCCATCCTATAATTAGTAGGTAATTTTGGACGGTCGAGCTTCCACGGAAGTCACACCCAGTAATGTCCAGATTCACATTTAAGAACATAAGAACATAAGAAAGGAGGAACACTGCAGCAGGCCTGTTGGCCCATACTAGGCAGGTCCTTTACAATTCATCCCACTAACAAACATTTGACCAGCCCTATTTTCAATGCCACCCAAGAAACAAGCTCCGATGTGCAAGTCCCACTCAAATCCAACCCCTCCCACTCATGTACTTATCCAACCTAAATTTGAAACTACCCAAAGTCCTAGCCTCAATAACCCAACTAGGTAGATTGTTCCACTCATCAACTACCCTATTTCCAAACCAATACTTTCCTATGTCCTTTCTAAATCTAAACTTATCTAATTTAAATCCATTACTGCGGGTTCTCTCCTGAGAGATATCCTCAAGACCTTGTTAATATCCCCTTTATTAATACCTATCTTCCACTTATACACTTCGATCAGGTCTCCCCTCATTCTTCGTCTAACAAGTGAATGTAACTTAAGAGTCTTCAATCTTTCTTCATAAGGAAGATTTCTAATGCTAATGTATTAATTTAGTCATCCTACACTGAATGTTTTCTAACGAATTTATGTCCATTCTGTAATATGGAGACCAGAATTGAGCTGCATAATCTAGGTGAGCCTTACTAATGATGTATAAAGCTGCAGTATGACCTCTGGACTTCTGTTGCTTACACTTCTTGATATAATCCAAGTAACTATTTGCCTTATTACGTACGCTAGGCACTGCTGTCTTGGGTTTAAGGTTGCTGCTTACCATAACCCCCAAGTCCTTTTCGCAATCTGTATGGCTAAGTTCTACATTATTTAACTTATAAGTGCTAGGGTTATGGACACTCCCGAGCTTCAGAACCTTGCATTTATCTACATTGAACTGCATCTGCCACTTTTCTGACCAAGAGTAGAGTTTGTCTAAATCCTCCTGAAGTTCCCTAACATCTACGTTTGAATCAATTATCCTACCTATCTTCGTGTCATCGGCGAATTTGCTCATATCACTAGTAATTCCTTCATCAAGATCATTGATATATATTATAAACAACAACGGGCCCAAGACTGATCCCTGTGGAACGCCACTTGTTACTGATCCCCACTCGGATTTAACCCCATTTATGGACACTCTCTGCTTCCTGTCTGTGAGCCATAAACCATACCCCCGGCCGGGATTGAACCCGCGGTCATAGAGTCTCAAAACTCCAGCCCGTCGTGAGCCATGATTCGATCCACGAGAGCACCCTTCCCCCAATGCCATGAGCTGCTACTTTCTTCAACAGTCTTTGGTGCGGAACTCTATCAAATGCCTTACTAAAATCTAAGTAAATAATATCAAATTCTTTATCGTGGTCAACATCCTCAAAAGCTTTACTGAAGAAAGTTAATAAATTAGTTAAACAAGACCGGCCTCTTGTGAATCCATGCTGAGTATCATTAATCAAGCTATGCTTATCGAGATGGCTTCTTATAATTTGAGCTATAATTGACTCTAGTAATTTGCCTACAATTGAGGTCAGGCTTATTGGGCGGTAATTTGACGGTAACGACTTGTCCCCTTTTTTAAAAATAGGAATTACATTAGCCATCTTCCACATATCAGACACTACACCTGTTTGAAGAGATAAATTAAAATATTAGTTAATGGTTCACAGACTTCCATTTTGCATTCCTTTAGAACCCTTGAAAAAACCTCATCAGGACCCGTGACTTATTTTGCTTCAGTCGGTCTTTCTGCTTCACAACCATTCACTAGTGACTGTGATGTTACATAATTTATCTTCTTCTGGCCCACTATAAAAATTTTTACCGGAATATCATTAGTGTCTTCCAGTGTAAAAACCGAGAGGAAAATAATTTTTTAAAATCGAGCACATTTCATTCTCTTTGTCAGTAAGATGCCATAGTTATTTTAAGGGGACCTATCTTATCTCTGACTTTTGTTCTATATACCTGGAAAAAACTTTTTGGGTTAGTTTTAGAACCCCTAGCAACTTTAATTTCATAGTCCCTTTTAGCTTTTCTTATCCCTTTTAATGTCCTTTTAAATGTCTATATACTGATTCATAAAAATGACCCCACCTCTTTTGATACCCCTTTAAAAATTCCTTTCTTATAGATATTTCAGCCTATTATTCATCCATTTTGGGTCATTTCTATTTGATCTAATTTCTTTATAAGGGATTTAAAAGTTTTTTTGAGCAGCATGTATGTGTTCAGAAAACTGTCATATTGATAGCTCTCTTCGTTACCCAGTCAACAGATGATAAGTGTTCTCTAGCCCATCGTAATCTGCTAAGCGA